TATTTTTTAGGGATCAAATATTTTTGTTGCATAAAGTATCGTTATTATATTTTTAGGAATGAAAATTAGACATTAGTAATGAATTATTATCTTTCTATGACCAAATTTTTTTTCTCAAAAAATAAATCATTTTGAAACCAAATTATTTTATCCCTAAAAGTGTATTTATTGGTTAACATTTTCAAAATTTTGTCGCTAAAAATCTTATTTTTGACTTTTCAAGACGATTTTTTACTGACTATCCTTACGACGATAGAAATGGATCCCTAAATGTCTTTTATAACAAAATTTTTACTTTTTGAGACTAAAAAATTTGGTCTCTAAAACTCTTATATGTTGTAATGAAGCCTACTTATTGGTTGTTACTATTTGATGATACAGTTACTACACAATGGGTCCCAGGTGGAATGGGTTGGACTAATCCACGCTTCTTCAACCGGTAACTGAGTGTTCAAGCCCACCAGAGAACCTGCACACAAGTTCAATAGGGGAACAGGGAGTCCCCCAGCGAACCCTCCGACGAGCAAATTAGAGAGAGAGAAGTGTAATGTAGGGATATGAATTAGAGATAGAAAAACTTAACCTTCTTCTTGTCTTCAACATATGCGTATATCCTCTGGTAATCATTTCGCCGTCCTTTCCGACCTACCACCTTGGCTGAAAGTCTATGCTGTAGCTTACCTTGTTCAGGGTGAGGGGGTGCTGTTCCGACGGAGAGATGTTGTCGTAATAAATGCTGTGATGGACTGCATTAATGGCGATGTGCAGTGGTAATAACTTTGCAGATCTTTGTCTGCTGATGTGGCTTGTCCTTTACCTGCCACATGTCTGAATATCATTGGTTCTTCGTGCCATGTTGGCTTCCAGCTATTCAGGATCTTATCAGTTGGGTTATGTGTTGGGCTCTAAGTGATGGGTTTCGGTTGTTCATAGTGGGCTATGACCTTTGTGGGCCTAACCACGTCACTATTAGTATAAAATAAATTTATATTTCTTAGAAATATACGTTTTGTGCCTCTGATCTTTTAATTTTTTATTTTATCAATTTTGCTTTTAAAAATTTCAATTTGAGTCAATTTTGTTCAATTTCAAACAAACCTTCTTAGCCTCTGTTTAGGAAGTGGGTTGGCTTTTGGGTTTTTTTGGCTATTTTAGCCTAGGCTAAAAAGCTTGGTTTGAGAAGAGCTTTTTGATTTTTTTGACTTTTTTTGTGAGAGAAGAGTGTAATGATTATGGGTTGCATGTGATGTTTTGTTTGTTATGGCTAAAATAGCATGTTTTGTCTTTTGTGGCTAAAATAGCCACAAAAAACTATTCATCTATGGTCCCAATAGTATAAATTTTGTATCACTTTGGTCCCTTAACATTGACGATGAAAACAAAATAGAACCGTACCGTGTTACATGACGAAATTGACAAAATTAAAATTTTTGGGTGAATTACACTAACGGTCCATATAGTTTGGAACTTGTATCACTTTGATCCCTGCCTTTTCAATTGTAACACATTTGACCCTGAATTTTAAATATTATTCCAAATAAGGATAATTGAAGATACCATTATTTAATTTCAAGGACAAAATCGCCAATTTCATAAATAAAAAACAAATATGACAAAAATAAATGTCAAAAAATATTTTTGAATTTTAAAAATTATTTCTACTCACCGAAGATAAAATTATGTAAAATTGATAAATCTTTACACATTTTTTTTTTTACCATATTAATTTTTATTATGTGTTTGGATGATAATCATGTAATGGGTGGTTGTTAGGATTTTAATGTGTAATCGATATACAGTATTTAATATATAAAATATTTTTAGTTTTGGATTTTTTGATTTAATAATGATATAAAAGTTGTTGCCATATTTAACTTTTGAAAAAATAGAAACTAATTAAATAAAAATAAAAATAAGCATTCATTACATGATCATCATCCAAACACATAATAAAAATTAATTTGGTAAAAAATAAAATAAATGTGTAAAAGATTTATTAGTTTTATATAATTTTATCTTTGGTGAGAATAAATAATTTTTTAAAATTCAAAAATATCTTTTTGACATTTATTTTTATCAAATTAGTTTATATTTTATTAAATTGACTATTTTGCCCTTAAAATTAATCAATAGTATCTTTAATTGTCCTTATTTGGAACAACATTCAAAATTTATGGTCAAATATGTTACAATTGAAAAATTAAGGATCAAAATGACACAAATCTTAAATTATGTGGACAAGTAATATAATTCGCCCTAAAATTTTCAAGGCCAACATAACACATAATGCACACTTTACTGACCAAAAATAAAATCTACAATTATTTCATTAATAATTAAGTCAGTACGTTTGAAATTGAACTCAATCCAAAACACTACTGAAATAGCAAAATAAAATTTAAAAGACAAAACAACACAAAACATATAGGACCATATGTTTATTTTATCCATATTATTAATTGTAAAAACCAGTAAGTATAAAAGGTCATAGAGTTAAACATAAAAAATTAAAAATTAAAAAATTTTAAAAAAAAAAAACATAGTAAGTAAATGACTAAAATATATTTAGAAAAAGTTTATCATTTACTATTCCCCTAAACTCTTATTTCACTATACACCATTTTCTTGAAACTTCCATTGCATTACAATAATTCTCCCCAAACTTATGCATCAGGGCTGTGTGTCAACGACATTATTATTATTATTATTATTATTATTATTATTATTATTATTATTATTATTATTATTATTATTATTATTATTATTAAAGTATGTAAAATTTATTATACAAAAATGTTTGAGATCCCAAAGTTGGGTACTCCATGACCCCCAAAATGATGTCGACCAATCAAATTTTTTTTTTCTTTCCTTCCTAAACAATCACAGGTGAATAAAGGTTATGGGATTGTGTTTTTTAGGAGTACGTGGCATTGCTGTTTATTCTATTATGTGTTGGGTTTTGTGTTGATTATAAAACTGGTTTTATAAATAAATTTAAAAAAAAAAAGTTGTTTCTTCTTCCAAGCCTACATTATATATAATATGACACTTGTGTCAACCTAATGTATATACACATACACATATCAACATGGAGGCCAATCAATTTTTTTTTTCTTTCCTTCCTAAACAATCACAGGTGAATAAAGGTCATGGGATTGTGTTTTTTAGGAGTACGTGGCATTGCTGTTTATTCTATTATGTGTTGGGTTTTGTGTTGATTATAAAACTGGTTTTATAAATAAATTTAAAAAAAAAAAAAGTTGTTTCTTCTTCCAAGCCTACATTATATATAATATGACACTTGTGTCAACCTAATGTATATACACATACCAATATCAACATGGAGGTTTTGGTGATCTCTAAAAATCAAGCCATCTAACCCAACCCCTTCCAACCTAAGACATTTCAAACTTTCCTTTCTTGATCAAATCAACCATCCAAGAATTTTTCCTTTGATTTTTTATTACCCATTAGGGTTTGAAGATGATTCAAGAGCCACAAACCTCACAAGGTCTAACCAGCTCAAGAAATCTCTTGCTGATGTCTTAACTAAGTTCTATCCACTAGCTAGTCGAGTCAAAGAAAACCTCTACATCGACTGCAATGATGAGGGTGTTCTTTACTTAGAAGCCCAGGTCAATTGCCAACTCTCACAAATCATTGGACAACAACCCATCAATCCCCATGTTGAGCTTAACAAGTTGCTTCCATTTGATCGACTCAATGATGCTGGTGATGTGCTCTTGGCAATACAAGTCACAGTCTTCAAATGTGGTGGGACGGCCATTGGGATGTGTTTTTCTTAGCCTGTACCTTTGCCAACTCTTGGGCTAGTGCCGCTCGAGCGGGTCCACTACAAGAAAAATCACCTTTGGCGATTAATTTTTAGTCGTCAAAAGTCGACTTTTTAGTTTCTCCAACTAAAATTTTTAGTCGCCGCTTTTGTCACTAATACATGGTTGCCGGAGGTATTGGCGACTAAAACTTTTTTAGTCGGCAAAAAACAGGTCTTTAGCGACCAAAGTTTTAGTCGCCAATAGTGATTCACACTTTTGAAAATCATACATTTAGCGACTAATCCTTTAGTTGCCAATACTCACTAAATCGCTGACTAAACCGTTTAGTCGCCAAAATAAAGACTTTTGGCGACTAATAATTTTAGTCGCCAAAGGTGCTTCCGTGAAAAAAAAAAAAAAAAAACCAACTTTTTTGCTTTTTCTGAGATTCGAACCACCAACCTGTCCCACATTCTAAACCTTTAGCAACACACTCCCTCCACTATGCCATTACAACACCACATGAATATATACACAATATATATTACTTATATAGTATATTGACCCGTATTAATATAAAACTATATATATAAATATAATTATTTTTATTCAATATAATTTATGTAAAAAATAAATTATTTACTAAAAAAAATTGAGGCCACTTTTGGCGACTAAATCCATTATTGAGTCGGCAGTTCTGTAATTTTGGGCTACTAATTATTTTTTAGTCGCTAAAAAAATAAGTTCCGCCTAAAAATAAACAGTTTTGGCGACTAAACCTGTTTTTGGTCGCCAAAAACGTCCCCTTTTGGCTACTAAACTGGATTTTAGTCGCCAATTGCCTGTTTTTAGCTACTAAATTTTTTTTAGTAGCCAAAAAGCTTCACTTTCAGTGACCAAACTGTTTTTAGTTGCCAAAACACGTATAATCGGTGACCAAACTGTTTTTTAGTCGCCAAAACCTATACTTTTGGCTACTAAATTATTTTAGTCGCCAAAAACCGTCACTTTTGGCTACTAAAAAACCTTTAGTCGGTAAAACCCATATAATCGGCGACTAAATTGATTTTTAGTCTCCAATAACTATACATTTGGCTACTAAATTGTTTTAGTCGCCACTTTTGGCTACTAATTCCATTTTAGTCGCCGAAAATGGCACTTTCAGCGACGAAAATAATTTTTTTAGTCACCATTTCTGTATTTTCTTGTAGTGGTCATAGCAATATGGTATGCCCTCGACTTGATTCGGCCACATATTTCCCTCCTAGAGACATGTCTTGTTATAATATAAGGACCGGCAGGACAGAAGAAAAGATGGTTTCAAAGAGGTTTCTGTTCAATGCCTCTGCTATCTCTACTCTCAAAGACAAGTATGCAAATGAAATACAACCCACTAGGGTTGAAGCACTTTCCGCTTTCATATGGAGTAGATTCGTTGTTGCAACGAGTGATCAAGTAGAGGCAGAGGCAGAGGCAGAGACGAGTATTACAAGACTCTATTTGGTGATTCATGGATTAGACTTGCGCATGAGAATGAATCCCCCTCCAACAGAGTCTTATTTTGGCAATTTTAGTTGGGTTGTAATGATCATGCCATCCATGGACAAGACTGTGGAAGAGGGTTATGGGTTTGTGACAAAAATGAGGGAAGCAGTAAAGAAAACTAAAGACAGTGATTATGTGGAAACAATTCAAGAGGGTGACACACTCTTCAGTTCTATGAAAAGAAAGGGAGATGATAAATGAAGTCAAGAACCTCCAAGGGAAGAGGCAATGAGAAAGAATATAGAGTTTGGTAACTTTACCTTTTCTAGTTATTGCAGGTTTCAACTATATGAAGTCAATTTTGGGTGGGGGAGACCTATATGGGTAAGCCGGGCTACTCTACCCGTAAAGAATCAAGCGGTTTTTATTCCTACAAGATCTGGTGATGGTATAGAAGTGTGGATTAATTTGACAGATGTTGACATGGCCAAATTTGAAGCTGATGGAGTTTTTCTCAAATTTCTTTCCCAAGCCTCTGACTGATGATGACTTGGGTGCTAAGTTCTATTTTCTATAGCATGCTCAAGAATTAAATGTGTAATTTATGTGCATGTATTAGTGTAGACCATCTATCAATTGCTAATATTTTAGTCATTGTCCATGGTGGGTTTAGTGTATTTCTACTGGGCTGTGGCTCACCCTATATGGGAATAACATTTTCAGTTGCAGGAAGCATGCCACCTCCAAGGACATAGCTGGGAGGCTAGTGGCAGACATACTTTTGTCGCTTAACTTTTGATGTATTACATGTAACTTCAAGCCTAGGGCTTAATGTGTAAACGAGTTAGTACTCTTTTGTTGTAACCAAGTGTTAACTTGGAAAGCTGTAAGCCCGTAGGGCATTTTGTTATGATGTTAACATGTAATACTTAGTAATACTTATGTAATGAAACTCTAATGAATAAAAGAGTGTGGTTAGTTTATATGTAAATGCATGTCTTATCTGATGGGTTTATTGTTGTTATTTTGAGGGCGTTACAGCATATATATGCCTTGTTTGGAGTGGCTTTTTGGTTTTAAAAAAAGAGCAAATGAGTCACCAAAAAAAGTCAAAAAGTGAAACATTCAACCCCATTAGTAATTTTCTATTGAAATGGATATGATGGATGAGCATATTTACGCCTTGTTTGGAGTGACTCTTTGGTTTAAAAAAAAAGAAGAAGCAAATGAGTCACCAAAAAAAAGTCAAAAAGTAAAACATTCAACCCCATTAGTAAATAGTCATATCAAATAACGTAATGCTACTGGGATAAAAAGAATATATTGCACATCTGATAATAAGCTGTCCAATAAAGTATATCGGAATATAAACTAAATTCCAAAAGAAATAAAAAGAACCTCCACACAGAAAGTATATGAGTCTCCACAAGAGAGAAAAACAAACCTCTACGCAAGGAGAAGAAAACCTCCATGAAAGAAGTAACAATCTATACGAGAGATATTATTGCAAAAAACAAAAAAAAACAAAACAAAATGATCACCACTAAACAAGCATTATCAATCACCTTCACGATTTGTTCATTGCTACAATTGGTAGCTATGATACCTTAATTTCTGTCTCTATGTTATCAAATGAAACATTATGAATCTGAGATGGTCACCTAGTGCATAACACCGCATTAATGTTGGAAAAATAGTGTTTTTATATGGCTTATTTTGGACCAACTTTGAGGCCAAAATTAAGTGGGCCCCAAACGTCTTTTGGGGTGGGTTCGAAGAGGTGACGTGTTCCTTGCCGCATGGCAAGTCACACGGTGAAGACAGAACGTCAAAACCATTTATGAGTGAATGGGAAGTTGACGTCATTTTCGGGTCTAACATTAATTTTTTAGATAAAATTCATTTGAATTTTTTTCAATAAAAATTATTGTGAGAATTTAATTTAAATTCTAAATTCAAATAGTGGTTTCCTAAAGTTTGTCAAATAGATTTATATTTATATCCTTTTCAAGGTTTTAATAAACTATTCAACTTTTGGCTTTATTTGATTAAACTATTCTAAATAGTTTAATAATATATATATTCCAACTATTTAGAATATTGGTCCATCAGTTTGAAAATTGTTGTCCAAACGGTTCTATTTTCAAATTGGTTGAAATTTGTTCTAACATTTTTTCTAACTTTTTTGAAAAAGAATTCAAGCAACAGTTGTATTCATTTTGCACCTTGTCACTTTTTATTGGGACCTGTTTGGGCAGAGTTGGTTACCTATATATACAGCCATTATTTCAGCATTCCAAACCCCCGGAAATTTGAGTCTTGGTAATCCGAATTTTCCATTCGAAAAATCTGTTTGATTTTTGTCACTTTGCTGTCCAAATTTTTTCTTTTACATTATTCTTCATTTTAGTTTTAGAATAAATTAAAGAGAGTATTAGAACACAAGGTTTGGTTCGCCGAACAAATTGTTTGGAGTACTACTACAATTTGTGAAGATCATTGTATCGCCCTCGACTTGATTCGGCCACATATTTCCCTCCTAGAGACATGTCTTGTTATAATATAAAGACCGGCAGGACAGAAGAAAAGATGGTTTCAAAGAGGTTTCTGTTCAATGCCTCTGCTATCTCTACTCTCAAAGACAAGTATGCAAATGAAATACAACCCACTAGGGTTGAAGCACTTTCGGCTTTCATATGGAGTAGATTCGTTGTTGCAATGAGTGATCAAGTAGAGGCAGAGACAGAGACGAGTATTACAAGACTCTATTTGGTGATTCATGGATTAGACTTGCGCATGAGAATGAATCCCTCTCCAACAGAGTCTTATTTTGTCAATTTTAGTTGGGTTGTAACGATCATGCCATCCATGGACAAGACTGTGGAAGAGGGTTATGGGTTTGTGACAAAAATGAGGGAAGCAGTAAAGAAAACTAAAGACAGTGATTATGTGGAAAGAATTCAAGAGGGTGACACACTCTTCAGTTCTATGAAAAGAAAGGGAGATGATAAATGAAGTCAAGAACCTCCAAGGGAAGAGGCAATGAGAAAGAATATAGAGTTTGGTAACTTTACCTTTTCTAGTTATTGCAGGTTTCAACTATATGAAGTCGATTTTGGGTGGGGGAGACCTATATGGGTAAGTCGGGCTACTCTACCCGTAAAGAATCAAGCGATTTTTATTCCTACAAGATCTGGTGATGGTATAGAAGTGTGGATTAATTTGACAGATGTTGACATGGCCAAATTTGAAGCTGATGGAGTTTTTCTCAAATTTCTTTCCCAAGCCTCTGACTGATGATGACTTGGGTGCTAAGTTCTATTTTCTATAGCATGCTCAAGAATTATTATATCTGGGTTAAAGAAGAATGTGATGTTGTTACTTGTTTTTGCTTCTGCTTCAGATTTAATAAATGGTTATAGGCCTTTCAAAATTGCAAATAAATTTTATCCCAATGACTCGTTTCACAAAGCAAACAAAAAAAAAAATTGTATTTGAAATTTCAATTGCAGAATTATGATATTGATATTTTTAAACATTTCAAATTGAAATGAATTATTTAAAAATAATTGATGGTTATTTTCCATATGCATAAATTTCTTTATTATGAACCATGCCAGTTACAGTTACCTATGAAAAAGTGAACTTTTCAAATTCGAAGTTGATCAAATCCTACATTCAATCAACCATTAGTTTTATTTTCTATTGAAATGAATATGATGGATAAGCATATATAGCGATCCCAGGTTTACCCTTGTTGAACAGTGATCCGGACATGTGTCCGTGGATGTTGGTAGTTGTTTATTATCTTGTTTTTGGTTTAAAAAAAAGAGCAAATGAGTCACCAAAAAAAGTCAAAAAGTGAAAATACCGGGATCGCTATAAATTTTCTATTGAAATGGATATGATGGATGAGCATATTTACGCCTTGTTTGGAGTGACTCTTTGGTTTAAAAAAAAAAATAGAAGCAAATGAGTCACCAAAAAAAAGTCAAAAAGTAAAACATTCAACCCCATTAGTAAATAGTCATATCAAATAACGTAATGCTACTAGGATAAAAAGAATATATTGCACATCTAATGATAAGCTGTCCAATAAAGTATATCGGAATATAAACTAAATTCCAAAAGAAATAAAAAGAACCTCCACACAGAAAGTATATGAGTCTCCACAAGAGAGAAAAACAAACCTCTACGCAAGGAGAAGAAAACCTCCATGAAAGAAGTAACAATCTATACGAGAGATATTATTGCAAAAAACAAAAAAACAAAACAAAATGATCACCACTAAACAAGCATTATCAATCACCTTCACGATTTGTTCATTGCTACAATTGGTAGCTATGATACCTTAATTTCTGTCTCTATGTTATCAAATGAAATATTATGAATCTGAGATGGTCACCTAGCGCATAACAACGCATTATTGTTGGAAAAATAGTGTTTTTATATGGCTTATTTTGGACCAACTTTGAGGCCAAAATTAAGTGGGCCCCAAACGTCTTTTGGGGTGGGTTCGAAGAGGTGACGTGTTCCTTGCCGCATGGCAAGTCACACGGTGAAGACAGAACGTCAAAACCATTTATGAGTGAATGGGAAGTTGACGTCGTTTTCGAGTCTAACATTAATTTTTTAGATAAAATTCATTTGAATTTTTTTCAATAAAAATTATTGTGAGAATTTAATTTAAATTCTAAATTCAAATAGTGGTTTCCTAAAGTTTGTCAAATAGATTTATATTTATATCTTTTTCAAGGTTTTAATAAACTATTCAACTTTTGGCTTTATTTGATTAAACTATTCTAAATAGTTTAATAATATACATATTCCAACTATTTAGAATATTGGTCCATCAGTTTGAAAACTGTTGTCCAAACGGTTCTATTTTCAAATTGGTTGAAATTTGTTCTAACATTTTTTCAAACTTTTTTGAAAAAGAATTCAAGCAACAGTTGTATTCATTTTGCACCTTGTCACTTTTTATTGGGACCTGTTTGGGAAGAGTTGGTTACCTATATATACAGCCATTATTTCAGTATTCCAAACCCCCCGAAATTTGAGTCTTGGTAATCCGAATTTTCCATTCGAAAAATCTGTTTGATTTTTGTCACTTTGCTATCCAAATTTTTTCTTTTACATTATTCTTCATTTTAGTTTTAGAATAAATTAAAGAGAGTATTAGAACACAAGGTTTGATTCGCCGAACAAATTGTTTGGAGTACTACTACAATTTGTGAAGATCATTGTATCTTGGGAGATAG